GTAGGTGCAAACAAAAATATAAATACTGTTTTGTAATATAAATATAAGGGGTCTATGCTCCCATAAAGTGGAAATGTTATGTTATGGGTCTATATTTGTATAAATTTGTAGTAAAAACCGTCAAAATGCTATGTTTTTGCTTTGTGATAAGTTGTTTTATACATAAAACCTAACTTTACGTATGTGTTATTAAGGGCACATTAGAAAGTTGCACTTATGATAACATTGTGCGTTTTTTAGGTTAGATTTTATATATAGACCTGTCAAAATGCTTTGTATTTGCCTACAATCAGGTGTTTTACACATAAAACCTAACTTTACGTATGTGTTATCAATGGGACATCAGAAAGATGCACTTATGATAACATTGTGCGTTTTTTAGGTTAGATTTTATGTGTACACATATATGTAACGATCTATCAAAATGCTTTGAATTTGCTCTACAATCAAGTGTTTTACACATAAAACCTAACTTTACGTTTGTGTTATCAATGAGACATCAAAAGATGCACTTATGATAACATTGTGCGTTTTTTAGGTTAGATTTTATAACCTAACCTTTTTGACAGTTTTTACTACCAATTCATACAAAGATAGACCCGTAACATAGCATTGCCTTAACATTTCTATGTTATCAAAGAATTAGTCTCTAATATTTATATTATACAATTGAAAATGCTGAAAATTACATCTCAAGAACTATTAAAATAAAAACAGTTTTGAACAAAAATATGATTAAAACTGTTTTGTATATATCGATAGTGTAAAAATATAAATCAATATTTATATTTTTGTGCTCGCACTATTAAATATGATAAAAATACATCACAAAAGTTAGACAAATTAGAAAGGCATGATATTAGATTTTTTTAATTAATTTATTATTATATGTAATAGGAATTGATTAACAAAAATTCTAGATATTTTTTTATTAATATTTGTTATAGGAATTGATTTTTTAAACAAAACTAGCTAATTTTGTATGATTTTTATTAAAAATTTGAATATTTATTTAATTTATTTAATAAACAAAAATATTTCAATGAAGTATTTTTTTATTTAGTAGAATGTAGTCGTAGAGCCAATAATAAATTTATGATAGCACATTATAAATTGTAGAACATAGTTATAATGATTATTTAAATTATAATTAATTATTTTAAAAGATTTAAGAAAAAATTGTTGTACGAAGGTGTGCTTGAAATTTATTGTGATTTCAGGGAATTTGATTTTATATATCGTATATGTTTGTACATGATGCATTCAAAGTTTGTTAATGATTTATTTATTTGAACAGTGATAAAGTCTTACTTGAATTTCTATTAATGAAATTAATAGAAAAATATTTATTTAAGGCTGTGAAAGAAGTGCTTGTTTGAAAGTGTGCAGAAATATTTATTACGCTTGCAAGAAATTTTATTTTATGTTGCTTCTTATGTATTCAGAGTTTGTTAATTTTTTTCATAATTTACTTTAAAAAATGATTAAAAAATCATAAAAAAATTAATAGAAAAGTGTCTATATAACAGCTGTAAAAGAAGTGCTTCGAGAAAACTGTGTTGAGATTGAGAAGAAGTTTATTATGATTACAAATAATTTAATTTTAAATTGCTGTTAATGTATTCACAGTTTGTTAATTATTGTTTTATAATAGATAGTAGTAAAGTCATTTAAAAAATTATAGTAAAATTAATATAAACAATATCTATCAAAAGCTGTGGAAGATGTACTTTGAGAAAACTGATGTGTAGTGAAAGTTTATTGTGATTATGAATAATTTGATTTTATATTGCTGCTGGAGTATTTACAGTGTGTGAAATATTTTTTTAAAATTTTATAGATAGTGGTAAAGTTACTCATAAAATTATAGTGAAAGTAATAGAAACAATATCTATATAAAGTTGTAAAAGAAATGCTTCGGGAAAACTGTGCAGAGGAAGTTTATTATGAAAACGAACAATTTTTGATTTTATATTGCTGCTGGAGTATTTACAGTGAAATATTTTTTTATAATTTTATAGATAGTAGTAAAGTTACTCATAAAATTATAGTGAAATTATTAGAAAAAATATCTATAAAGATCTGTGAAAGAAGTGTTTCGAGAAAACTATGTAGTGAATTTGTTTATTAACAGTGTGTGATTTTATTTTATATTTTCTAGAAAGTAGTAATAAAACAAAAACAAATACAAAATATAGTTAAAACTAGAAAACAAACTGCTAGAAGCATTTGCATTAGGTACCAAACTTTTATATATAATTTTATTTGTGTGTACAGACAATTAAAATGCAAAATTTTTTTTGCTTTATATAAAACCATATAAAACTACATTTATCACCTTCCTTTATAGTACACTAATATATAATTAGTTAATATTAGTGTATTATAATCAATTAATATTAAATTATCATAAATATAATTTTATATTTTTTGAATTTGAAAAAATAAACGGTTTTTAAAATTCGCGCGCAACTGTTTAGTTCCATTGTCGGCTACATTCACACTGTTCGCTTGTCTTTCTTTAGCGCACTTGATTACCAACAAAAAGGCGCCGCTTTATTACACAAATAATAATAATTTATACTTAATAATTAATGTCGTAATCTTTATAGTGATAATGTGCATAAATGCCGTTACAATATCTATTATTATCGTATAAATATATACGTCGAGCATATTGAAATTTTGTGTTAACATTTTTATAACCTAACTTTTGCTTAGCGGTTTGCTTTGCTTTAATAAAAGATCATGGATTTTTTAGAATACTCAGATATTTCTTCGGAAGTAAAAGGATGCATGGTAATAATACAATAAAGAATAAAATATTTTTTATTCTTGCACAATTTTTATATCCGTATACTTGTTCCTAGGTTCCTGGTAAATTAAAGATGACAGATCAAGCAATAATCTTCAAAAACAGCAAAACAGGCAAAGTAGAACAAATAAACTCTTCTGATCTAGAAGTAGTTAATTTCCAAAAGTTTGTCGGAAATTGGGGCCTTAGAATATTTCTCAAAAATGGTATATTGCGTCGCTTTGGTGGTTTCAAAGAAGGTGACACCGAAAAAGTAGCTAAGTTCTTCAAAACCAACTACAAACTAGATATGTTAGAAAAGGAGTTGTCACTTAAAGGCTGGAATTGGGGCACTGCTAAGTTCCAAGGATCTGTCTTTGAGTTTTAACGTAGGACATAACACTGCTTTTGAAATACCTTTGAATCATGTATCACAGTGTAATACGGGGAAGAATGAGATTACTATTGAGTTCCATCAGGTACAAAAGTGATAAACCATGATTTTATCAATGTTTTTATATGTATTTTTGTATATTTTAGAACGATGAGGCTCCAGTTTCTTTAATGGAAATGAGGTTTCACATACCGTCTTCAGAAAATGTTGATGTGGACCCTGTAGATGCTTTCCATGGTAATGTTATGAAGAACGCAAGTGTTATTTCTGTCACTGGTGATGCTATTGCTATATTTAGAGAGATTCAATGTCTTACACCAAGGTAATAAATAACTTTGCTACACCAAGACGATAACTCACATGTTTAAAATAATTTTGGTTATTTATCTGTGTATTACCTTTTAGGGGTCGTTATGACATCAAACTGTTCCAAAGTTTCTTCCAATTGCACGGTAAAACTTTTGATTACAAAATCCCGATGTCAACAGTTCTTAGGTTATTCTTGTTACCGCATCGAGATCAAAGACAAATGTTCTTTGTGGTGTCATTAGATCCTCCAATTAAACAAGGTCAAACTAGGTATCATTATTTAGTTTCGCTTTTTGGAACTGAAGAGGAGACAAGTATAGAATTACCTTTCACAGAGTAAGTTAATAAAGGATTTATTGCATCTTGTTTGAAGTTTATTAATTTAGTTGTATTTTGTGTTTTTAGTGAAGAATTGCAGGAGAAATACAATGGTAAATTGTCCAAAGAACTGTCCGGACCTACATATGATATCATTGCTAAAGTTATGAAAAATTTGATTAATAGGAAAGTTACTATACCTGCTGATGGCTTTAAGGGGTAAGAATGTATTTTCGTAATTGTTAATATTTTTTGTTTTTAACTTGCACAACAATTTTAGACACTTCACAACAATTTAAAATACTATCAAACAATTTAAAACATTTTAGGTCACTGAATATTTTTAGACACTTTGAAAAATATTCAGACATGTTGAAAAATATTCAGACACATTGAAAAATATTCAGACACGTTGAAAAATATTCAGACACGTTGAAAAATATTCAGACACTCCAAAACAATTTCCAGACACTCCAAAACAATTTCCAGACACTCCAAAACAATTTCCAGACACTCCAAAACAATTTCCAGACACTCCAAAACATGTCGAAACACTCTAAAAAAATGTTCAGACACTCTAAAAAATGTTCAGACACTTTAAAAAAATGTTCAGACATTCCAAAAAGTGTTCAGACACTCTAAAACACCTTTAGGCATACCAAAAAACATATTCAGACACTCGAAAATATTTTCAGACACTCAAAAATATGTTCAGACACTCCAAAAAAATTTCCAGACACTCCAAAATATGTTCAGACACTCCAAAATATGTTCAGACACTTCAAACAAATGTTTAGACACTCCAAAAAAATGTTTAGACACTCCAAAAAAATGTTTAGACACTCCAAAAAAATGTTTAGACACTCAAAAAAATGTTTAGACACTCCAAAAAAATGTTTAGACACTCCAAAAAAATGTTTAGACACTCCAAAAAAATTTCCAGACACTCCAAAAAAATTTCCAGACACTCCAAAAAAATTTCCAGACACTCCAAAAAAATTCCAGACACTCCAAAAAAAATTCCAGACACTCCAAAAAATTTCCAGATACTCCAAAAAATTTCCAGACACTCCAAAAAATTTCCAGACACTCCAAAAAAATTTCCGGACACTCCAAAAAAATTTGCAGACACTCCAAAATATGTTCAGACACTCTGCAACTTAATCAGACACTTTGAAACTCAATCAGACACTCTGCAACTCTACAAGACACTCTGCAACTCTATCAGACACTCTGCAACTTAATCAGATACTCTGCAACTTAATCAGACACTCTACAACCTCATAAGACACTGTGCAACTCTATCAGACACTCTGCAACTCTATCAGACACTCTGCAACTTAATCAGACACTCTGCAACTCTATCAAACACTCTGCAATAATTACAAATCCAATTTCAATACTTCAAATAACTTAGTATTTTTTTGTAATAAATATTTTTCATCTCTCTTTAGGGCTTCTGAGACTCCTGCAGTTAATTGTTCCTTCAAAGCAGCAGCCGGTTACTTATATCCCTTAGAAAAAGGTTTTATATACGTCCACAAGCCACCGCTGCACATCAGGTTTGAAGAAATCCAGGCTGTGAATTTTGCAAGAGGCGGTGGATCAACGAGGTCTTTTGATTTTGAAATTGAATTGAAATCTGGGACTGTGCATACGTTTTCGAGCATTGAGAAGGAGGAGTATAGTAAATTGTTTGATTTCATCACTTCGAAGAAGTTGCACATTAAGAATACTGGAAAGAATGTAAGCAGAATAATATTAATATTAATAGTTTTAGGGGAAGGGATTTTATTATTTTAACAAGGGTTTATTGGCATTGATTCTTTTGTATTTGTTATAATTAACTTATTGAAGTAAAACTTCTAATTTGAAAAAGTGAGGGAAATTATTTCGGTGTGTGAAAGTGTCTGAAAATATTATAGTATGTTGTGGAGTGCCTGAGAATGTCATGGAGTGTCTGATTGTGTTTAAAATTGTCTGAAAATGGTTGCAGAGTGTCTGATAGTGTTTAAAATTGTCCAAAAGTGGTTGCACAGTGTCTGATTGTGTTTAAAATTGTCTGAAAATGGTTGCAGAGTGTCTGATAGTGTTTAAAATTGTCCAAAAGTGGTTGCACAGTGTCTAATAGTATTTTAAATTGTCCAAAAATGGTTGCAGAGTGTCTGATTGTATTTTAAATTGTCCAAAATAGGTTGCACAGTGTCTGATGGTATTTAAAATTGTCTGAAATGGTTGCAGAGTGTCTGATTGTGTTTAAAATTGTCCAAAATAGGTTGCACAGTGTCTGATGGTATTTAAAATTGTCTGAAACTGGTTGCAGAGTGCCTGGTGGTGTTTAAAATTGTTTTTAAATGGTTGCAGAGTGTCTGATGGTGTTTAAAATTGTCTGAAAATTATTGCAGTGTGTCTGATGGTGTTTAAAATTGTCCAAAAATAGTTGCACAGTGTCTGATCGTGTTTAAAATTGTCTAAAAATGGTTGCAGTGTGTCTGATGGTGTTTTAAATTGTCTGAAAATTGTTGCAGAGTGTCTGATGGTGTTTAAAATTGTCTGAAATGGTTGCAGAGTGTCTGATGGTATTTAAAATTATCTGAAACTGGTTGCAGAGTGTCTGGTTGGGTTTTAATTTGTCTGAAACTGGTTGTAGAGTGTCTGGTTGTGTTTTAAATTGTTTAAAAATGGTTGCAGGGTGTCTGATCATGTTTTAAATTGTACAAAAATGGTTGCACAGTGACTGATAGTGTTTTAAATTGTCCAAAAATGGTTGCAGAGTGTTTGAAAATGTTGCAAATTGACTGAAAATGGTTGCAGAGTGTCTGATGGTGTTTTAAATTGTCTGAAAATGATTTCAAAGTGTCTGATGGTGTTTAAAATTGTCTGAAAATGGTTGCAGAGTGTCTGATAGTGTTTAAAATTGTCCAAAAATGGTTGCACGTGTCTGATGATGTTTAAAATTGTCTAAAAATGGTTGCAGAGCGTTTGAAAATGTTGCTAATTGCCTGAAAATGGTTGCAGAGCATTTGAAAATGTTTAATATTGTCTGAAAATTTTGTAAATTGCCTGAAATCTCTGTAATTGGAGTTCAAAATGTAATTGCAAAGGTAGAAATTTTCTCTAATTTCCACATTGCGAAATTTTATTCCTTTCACTGGGACTCAATTCACCATTACTATTTTTTTAGTTTCATTATAAAACCTCCTGTATTTATTTATATTATATCCTTTTTTTTTTTAGGACAAAGCATTGTACAAAGATGACTTTGGTGATTCAGACAACGAAAACGAACCTGATGCTTATCTTGCAAGAGTTAAAGCAGAAGCTGAAGAACGGGATGATGATGATCAAGGTAATAAATTTTTATGTAATATATATATATATATATATATATATATATATATATATATATTAATTACAATTATTACATCCAGGATCTGAAGAAGAATCAACAGACGAAGATTTCAATCCGGGCGAAGAGAATTCAGATGTTGCAGAAGAGTAAGTGAAAATAAAAATATATTTTCACATGATTATAAATTTGATTTAATACTTTATTGAATATTTTTACAGATACGATAGTAATCACACAGATTCCGAGTCGGACGAAGGCTCTGGTGAGGAAAAAGGTGATAAAGATAAAAGCAGCAAAAGTGAATCGCCTGAGAAAAAGAAACACAAACATAAATCGTCGTCTTCATCGAAATCTAGCAAAACCGTAAGAATAAATAGATAATTACTAAATAATTTTATTGAGTGTTTGTTTATTATTTATGATTATTTATTATTTATGATTATTTATCCAGGTGTCTGAGAAACCACGGAAATCAAAGAAGAACAAAAAGGAGAGAGACGAGAACAAACCAAAGAGGCCTATGACTGCTTTCATGTTGTGGATGAACGAGAACAGAGACACCATTCGAGAGAAGAATCCTGGTTTGAAAATTACAGAAATCGCTAAGAAGGGCGGAGAGATGTGGAGGGAACTTAAGGATAAATCTGTAAGTAGAAAAACACAGTTGTAATTTAGTGCAGTAAATGGAGAGGATAAAGTAGTGTAACCTTGGAATTTTTTTTACTGTGCTCTAATTTGCATGAAATTTTGGAATTAGGTTAATGTTACTCTTAAGTTCAAAAGTGAAAACAATTTCGACTCCGCCGTCATCCCCCGGGGGGGGGGGGATGACATTCCTTCCCAGTGGTGTAATTTTTACCCCTTAAATTGACATTGAGCAATTTTATCACTAGAAAACGTTTTTAATTTTAAAGGATATATTTGTAAAGTATTTTTTGATACATTTACCTTGAAATGAAATTATTTTCAACCCTAAACACCTTCAAACAACCTCCAAATTGAAAGAAAAAACACATAAAAATAAATTTTGGTATATATAATAAGAATTACATATAAAGTGAATAAAATTTTATATTCTCTATCTTGATTATCAATTTTTTACTCTTTTTAGTCCTTTAAAAACAACCCTTTGATGAAAATTTGTTTAAAAAAATTATTTTGAAATTGAAAGAAATTAACTAGCTGTAAGTGGAATTCTGTCTTGAGGCAATTATTGCATCGTGCTTTAAGGCAAATTGCTGGAACTTCCCGTACCGTAACGAAATGTTCGTGGAATACTGAATGTTTTCAAATAGATTATTATAAATATTGTAACATTGTCTAATATTTATAAGAATTATATAAACTGAATTGCAAAGTTAAACATATTTGTTTAAAGTACATTAGAACTTTAGTCAGAATTACGATTAAAATCTGAATTATTTTCGATATACAAAAAATAAAAAAAAAACAAAAAAAGTTGGAACAAAAATTTTTTTTCCAAAATCAATTATTTTGTTAAGACAAGCAGAAAGTTCTTTGAATCATTTAAATCGAACGCTTAGTTCTCTCAAAAACTGCCATTTTTTTACATATTTAGCTCCGTATCTTCGAAATGATTGGGCCTGCCTTTGCCAAAAACTAATAAACACTTCTCCCAATCATTACTAATTGAATGTATTTTAGATCATTCAAATCGGATACTCCGTTCTCTCAAAAAGTCGATTTCTATTTTCTGCACTCTTTGCTCCGTATCTCCGAAACGGCTGGACCTGCCTTCGCCAAAAACTAATCAACACGTCTCCTTATCAATACGAATCGAATGTTTTTTGAATTTTTCAATTCGCTTCATCCGTGTTCCCGAAATCGTCGACGAAAATTTGTATCCGAACACACACATACACGCACACATACATACACACACACACACACAAACACACACACACACACACACACACACACACACACACACAAACACACACACACACACATACATCCATTTTTTCTAAGGTATGCCAAAATGTTCAGAAGGTTTTGAAACGTAAAGATATATAAAAATTTTCATTTTCGATTTTTTTGCGATTACTATAACTTGCCCTATAAATTATTTTGAAATTGAAAGAAATTTAAGTAATTAAAAATGGTTTGAATGTTATTTAAATTTCTCGAAAATAATTTGGGTCATAACTCCTTTAATTCTGACTCTTTCAAAAGTTGTAATATACCATTTGAAAGGTAATTAAAAGGGCTAAAACTTTTTTCATTATAATTTTTTTTGTAACTCCTCTCATTTTGAAACGGCGAAGGGTTAAAGGGTTCGAGAGAGACTCTGATTGCACGGCCGCGCACTCTTTAAACAATCATAACTCTGACAATTTTTGTGTGAGAGAAAAATAATAAAAAACAATAATTGGTCAGAAAGAGCCTTTTAATTTTTATCTATGTACTTTTATACGTATCTTTTATTCTTTTTGAGATATAATGAAAATAAGTTCGATTTTTAAAAAAATCGGAAAATAAAGTTTTTATAAAATCGTGTGTTTTATGAAAATAGTTTGTACTAAAGTATTGAATCTGCTAGAATCCATCAAGATGTCTATAATGAAGTGAATTCTAGGTGGAATGTGAATTACTTTAATTCTGGTGGAAATGGTGCTCATTAAACCATATACATAATTTAAAAGAAAAAAACATCGTATATGCTTCTTATTTGTATGATAGCTCACTCATTTTATACGCAAAACACTTGTAACAGCACTCATTTTAAAGCTTATGTTGAGCACTATAAAACCCAATTTTCCCGAAATGCATAAAATGTAAAACCTCGCCACTAGATGGCTTTAAATACAACAATTAAATCTTGAACGAAATAAAAAACGACTTTGCTTTTTCAAATCTTGCTTAATATTTTTCCTAGAACACTTTATGTAATACCGATTTATTAAGATTTTTATTGACATTATTTTGTTCATTACATGATTTTCGTTAAAATGTATATTTTAGGAGATATTAGGTTGTCAAATATCTCCCTTCCGCTTTTTTGCTCTTGGTTTATAATACAAAAAGGCGGAAGGGAGATATTTGACAACCTAATATTTGCAAAAAAAACGAAGAAAAACGACAAAAACATATGAATCTTTGGTAGCATGTAACTTGAAAAGTATTAGTTTTTTTGAAAAACTATAAAAGACATTATTTCTTATAATTAGTTCTTCTATCGATTTCCGACGTTATTTTGAAAAAATGTAATTACACAATTGAGAAGGGATGTCATTTCCAAGGGGGGTGTCGGCGGAGTCTAAATTGTTTTCACTTTTGACCTAATTCCAAAATTTCAGGCAAATTGGAACACAGCAAAAACTAGTGGGGTGGGTGGCATCGTGCCTTAAGGCAAATTGCTGGAACTTCCCGTACCGTAACGAAATGTTCGAGGATTACTGAATGTTTTCAAATAGATTATTATAAATATTGTAACATTGTCTAATATTTATAAATATTATATAAACTGAATTGCAGAGTTGAAATTATTTGTAAAGTATATTAGAACTATAGTCAGAATTAAAAATAAATATTTTCGATATACAAAAAACTAAAAAAAAAAGAAAAAAAAGAATGGGACAATTTTTTTTTTCCAAAATCGATTATTTCGTTAAGACAAGCAGAAAGTTCTTTGAATCATTTAAATCGGACGCTTAGTTCTCTCAAAAACTGCCATTTTTTACATATTTAGCTCCGTACCTTCAAAATGACTGGGCCTGCCTTTGCCAAAAACTAATAAACATTTCTCCCAATCATTGCTAATTGAATGTTTTTTAGATCATTCTGTAAGAATCATAGAAAAGTCGATTTCTATTTTTTGCACTCTTTGCTCCGTATCTCCGAAACGGCTGGACCTTCCTTTGCCAAAAAGTAATCAGCTCTTTTCCCTATCAATAAGAATCGAATGTTTTGTGAACCATTCAAATCGGTTGATCCGTGCGCCCGAAAACGTGACTGGAAATTTGTATCCATACATACATACACACACACACACACACATCCATTTTTTCTGAGGTATGCCAAAATATTCAGAAACCTTCAAAATGTCGAGAAATGTAAGAATTTTCAATTCCGATTTTCGGCCCATTACAATAACTTACCTTACGGGAAGTTAAAAAATTCAGACCCAACGCGCTCCATTGACTACAGTAATTATGATTATAAATATTTCTATCTATGTTCATACAAAATTTTTTTCCCCAGGTTTGGGAGGATAAAGCAGCAAAAATGAAAACCGACTACAACAAAGCCATGTCAGACTACAAAGCATCAGGAGGAGGCTCAGGTGACAAAAAATCACCCAAAAAGAAATCCAGCAGTTCCAGCAGCAGTAAGAAAACATCCTCACCTACAAAATCATCAGGAGACTACAAGAGTAAAGAATACATCAGCGATGACTCTTCGTCTAGTGAAGATGATGCTAAAGATAAAGATAAAATAAAGAAAGAAGAGAAATCATCGAAAGATGATACAAAATCTAAAGATGATAAGAAGCCGAAAAGTGAGGAGAAACCTAAAAGTAAAGCCGAGTCTGATGGTGATGAAGACGAAGAGATGGAAGAGGAGGAGGAGGAGGCTATGGAGACGTCTGGATCTGAGGAAAATGATAGCGATTAGATATTTAAGACGTTTGTTGAAGTTTTACTGTGGTGAGTTATTTATTAATATTAATTTATATATATATATATATATATATATATGCACCATGGTAAAATTTCAATTTACATTTAAGACATTTCTTTTAAGTTATACATGTACAAAAATCTCCTAATAATTGTTACAATGCAAGTATTATCGAATAACGAGTGATATAAATGACCATTGTTAATTTTGACTTTAAGATTCCATGAATTGTTAATAACGCTAGTAAGGTGATGAATTTTTTTTAAATATATTATATTTTTACGTAATCAAGACTTTTATTGATGATAGATGATACTCTATAACTAGAATACTTACATATAAATAAATAAATAAATATATATATATATATATATATATACATACATATATATATATATATATATATATATATATATATATATGATTGTTGTTTGTTTTCCGAACAATAAATCCAATAATAAAAAGCAATTTGTTTTTTGAAGATGTTTAATAACGACGTTTCGGAACTAGATACGTTCCATCATCAGGTTTATATTTTGTCAAAGACAATGTTTTTTACAAAGTCAAAAACATTTACAAATATTCTCGAAAAAACGAGTGTTATAACAAAAAATATTAGTGATATGGATATATAAATTATTACAGGTAAATAATTTTTGCTTCTCAATTTTTTATAAAACCTTTTTTAGTTAATTTTTATTACTCTTTACACTGGTACATAATCCATTCCTTTATAATTTTTCTAAATAATCTGTAATAACCATCATTAATTAATGTTAATCAATAGTTTTAAAAAACATTGTCTTTGATAGAATAAACCTGATGATGGAACGTATCTAGTTCCGAAACGTCGTTATTAAATATCTTCAAAAAACAAATTGTTTTATATTATTGGATTTACTGTTTGGAAAAGAAACAATCAATATATTGAAAAAATCCAGGACTTACTTATCTATTAAATAAATATATATATATATATATATATATAAATATATATATCCCGCGTTTGTGTAACTCGAAAAATTCACTTTTATATGGAAAAACCGTCCTAAACAAAAATCACTATAAAAAAATCTCTTTATTAAAAAAAGTTTTTAATATGATGAATAATTAATACATTGAACCAAAAAATTAATATTAATATATTTAATATCAAACTTATTTAATAAATTATAAAAACTAGTGCCTTAAGGCAAATTGCTGGAACTTCCCGTACAGATTTTTTTTAGACTATTTTTTTTTAAAACTTGAAAAAAAAAATAGATTTTTGAGAAATTTTAAATTTTTGAAAAAAATTACATTTGAAGAAAGACTTTTTAAAAAAAAAAGATCTTTTTTTATTTTGAAATATTTTGGAAGTTTATAACTTTTTTCAAAGCAAATGTAAAGAAAATTCAAACTTATTATTAAAATTTCCATAAAATATTTGATAATTTGATGCGCATATCATTATTGCCCGCTAAATGGCATTTTTTAAATTTTTTTTTACTGTATTTACTTTTTTTACTGCAAAAATTTAATAAGTTCTTCATCTTGTCAATACAAATAAAATGTTTTTGAATCATTCAAATCGGACGCTTCGTTCTCTTAAAAACCGAGTTGCCGTTTTTGCCACTTTTTGCCCTGCACCCCGAAACGGCTCGACCTGCTTTTGCCAAAACTGATCAGCACCTCTTCTTACCAATACGAATCAATTGTTTTTTGAACCATTCGAATCGGTTGATCGGTGTTCCCGAAATCGTCGACGAAAAATTGTATCCGAACACGCAAATGCACACACACACGCATAAATACATTCATTTTTCCAAGGTATGCCAAAATGTTCAGAAACCTTTGAAACGTGAAGATATATAAAAATTTTCATTTTCGATTTTTTTGCGATTACTATGATTAACCCTACGGGAAGTTAACAATGTTTGCATATATTAACGTTTTAGAAGTTTCTAAACATTTTGGCATACTTCAGAAAAAATGGATGTATGTGTGTGTGTATGTGTGTATGAATGGATACAATTTTTCGTCCACGTTTTCGGGCGCACGGATTAACTGATTTGAAAAATGGCATTTTTTGAGAGAACTAAGCATTCGATTTGAACGATTCAAAAAACTTTCTGCTTGTGTTGACAAAACAATTGATTTTGAAAAAAATATATATCATTTTTTTTGTATATCGAAAATATTTCGGATTTTAATTTTAATTCTGGGTAAAGTTCTAAAACTCGCTTATATACTGTACTGATGTACGTCATCATTTAGCAAATCTAAAATACATTCTTACAATGAATACAAATATTAAAATATTAAAACTTCGATAATAACATTTGCGACTAATTAATAAAGTGAATTAATAAATATTGTACAAATTCGAATTTGCAATTTTCCAACAACAAATGTTAATAGTGATTCTAATGTGAGAGTACTTTGATGATTGGATAGTGCAAGAAAAAATACTGAAATAGATATTGATAGATATTTTTTCTGAATCGGAAGATGAAATTCGTAGGTAAATATCAATGAAATTATATGTATACTCATTTGAATAATGATAACCACATAAGTTTATTGAAATATATATTATCATTGAGTTCTATCCGAGTCAGATTTAATAATTCATGGTTCCAAATCCTTCCTCGCCAAGTGGATTTGGGGGCTTGAACTGTTCGGCTGAGAATCTTGTAAGTAATATTGATACTCCTAAAAATATAACAATATTATATATATATATATATATATATATATATTGTAGAGTTTCGAACAAGAATCCAAAAGTAATAAAAAACACTTCGTTTCAAACTGCCGATCTCGTAATATCGAGAGAGTAATATTGTTTGTGTTTTTCAAATAATAATTTTAAAAAATACAAAACTTTTAGTAATTTCGAGTTACAAAATTTAACTATTCGGCTGAAAAAACAACTCATAAATTGATTTTTTGTTAAAATTTTGTTTTAGTGAAAAAGTGCTAAGATATATTCATACATACAGGTAATTAATTCAATTTTGTCATTAACCTTTTCTAAAATTTTCTATAACTTTTAAAAATGTTATCATTTTTAATATCCTGTTAGATAATCCACTCATTTATTTTTTATCATTTTCATTTTGATCATATTATCACATTTCTGTACATTATTAGTTTTTCAATTAATTTATTATTTAAGAAAAATCCATTTTCTTTTCTTAAACATAGTGTTTGCTGAAATCTCATCAAGATCATGTTTCTTGACAGATGTCTTGAAGATGGAACGTACCTAGTTCCGAAACGTCGACAATAAACAAATAATTAAATAAAGAAATTGTTTATTAAAAAGTTTTCTTGTTTTTTTATTACTTTTGGATTCTTGATCGAAACTCTACAAAATATACACAAATCCAAGATTCTACCATTTATATATATATATATATAAATATATATATATATATATAAATATATATATATATATAAGGGTGGTCCTTAATATGGATATTTTCGAATTTTTTCACTCCAACCAAAGTTTCTTAAAATTCATAAAGTGGGCAAAATTTCATTTGTTGTTTAGAATTTTATATGTTAGCGACAAGTGAATCAAAATTTTGAGAATACAACAAATTACAACAAAAATTTGATATATTTTATAAAATAAGTGTTTACTTAGGAAGAAGAACCAAGAAACTTTGATCGGAATGCGGACTATCTAAATGTTAATACCAAGAGCTAAAACTTTCAGAAATTTTGTTTTCAATAATTTAGAAGCATTTGAGTCCCTGGGAGCAACAAAATTCGAAAACATCCATATTAAGGACCGCCATAATATTCATTATATCAATTATCTCTACCTTCTATTAAAGCCAGAATAGCTCCTCCGATAACGGCGCTCCCGGCCATAGCTGCTAAACCGTTTCTGGCAGCCAAAACGCCCCCAGTTAGGGCTCCAGAGGCGATCGAATTCCACGGATCCTCCTTTTTGCGGATGCACACCAGGGCGCAGTCTATTGTGCTGAACATTCCGCCCCATATTGCAAAATTACCTAGAGGAAAAAATTATATTATATTATATATATATATATATATATATATACACAAATATATATATTGTATGATTCTGAATTTGATGTTGACATATGTATTAACAAATTCTAGTAATCGGACATAACATCAATAAAAAACATGAATTTCTTTCAAAAATTTATTTTAAATCCATACGTTTCGGCTATAATCCTAGACTTCATTCAGTGGAAACTAAAAATAAAATTAAAAACTAAAACAATTGAATTGGAGTGAAAAGAAAAAATAAAATAGTAAATAGTACTTACAATTAGTTGATCTTAGTGTTAAATAGGAAAATTTTAATAATTCATGGTATTAGGATATGGTAATTCACTACACTATGTATTATAAACACTAACTTGAAATTACACATTATATTCACAAAACTTATACGTACTACTGATAACAAACTAATAACAAATTGGTACCAAAAACCAACTAACTCTGGAGACCACGTAATACTTCTATCGGACAAAACATTTTGGGACAACAACATCAATTTAATTACAAAAATTCTAACAGATAACTCTTATCCCCTAAAACTTATAAACTCCGTAACCAGTAACAGACAAACATACCTCTTGAATAAAATGGACAATTCCACAGTATATAACGATTTACCTGACCCAAAAACTCTTTTTGGTGTAATATGTTTGCCATACATTAAAGAATTGTATGTTGCTTGGAAAAAACTTTTTTTATAAATCTGGACTCCGACTTGTAAACAATTTTAGCGCAACGACTAGTGCTATTTTTACCAAAGCAAAAACCCCTTTTAATATCGAACGACTTAGAAATCTCGTCTATCAAATAAATTGTCTAGATTGTAATTTAATTTATATAGGAGAAACAAGCCAGAACTTAATTAAACGTTTACAATAACATAAAAACAATTCAAAAAATCCGAGACAATTCAAAACTATGATCGCGGAGCATAATTATACTTTAAAACACAATATGGACTTTTCTAACCCGACTG